AAATCTTCATCTCTGCTTCTTGTTATTTAGGAAACAAACTAAATACATAGTTATGCTGAGTGTTCCTGTGCCAGATTGTGAATTTCATGGCTCCTGGGTCTGAGGTGTTAGAAAGGTGTTCTATTGAATTATATATGAAAAATGTATTAATTTTTCAAATCTTCCTCCCTACTCCTTTGCATCTAGCAGGCAAACTGTGTACAAAGTTATAATTCATTTTAGAAAGTTTGCCTCTAGATTTGTGATATTCATACCACTGGGTAAGGGAATCTGATGCTTCATTGATTTTGATTCAAGAGGATTTGATAAGACTTTTGGAAATTTCAATTTATTTAGGTATTGGGTGTGTTTGCTACCATAACAACTCTCTCCTTGTACCCCTTCTCCCATACATGGACGACAGCTAGCCATCTCTCACCCCCACCCCCAACCCCCCACCCCACAACACACTTTTTCATTGTCCAATACTGTTGAATACTGTTCAGATCCCCAACCCTTGTACTTTTTATTTTGCCCTGTCAAAGCCCAAAAAAAATTAATAACTTGGTTCTCAGGCCCGTTTTCTCAAAAATAAATGCGGGAGGGAGGCATGTTTTTTTTTTCCTTTGCACTTCATAAAAAACAGACATGGGATTTTTGATTTTTTTTTTAATTTAAAAACTAGCCACTTTTAATAAACAGTGCTCCAACATTGAGTGTAGAAATCAAGATCATTTATTTCCTGCTTCTTTCCCTTTCCTATTGCATTTTTTTTACATTCCGATGATTCGTGCAATGAAACAACGGCATCCCAACAACCAGACGTGTTAAACTTACAGAGGCTGACACTTTTAGTAATGCATGTGGTTAATTGCTTACGTATCACGACTAATCTAAGAGTGTTTCAGCACTTTAAATAGCGCTTATGATTTTGTTAAACATTGTCAAATTTATCAGTCTTTGTTTTACCCACACTAAATGAAAACGGCCAATCTTGCTGAAGTTTCTCTGGAAACGTCAAAGTTGCGAGGTTGAGGGAGCATCTTTGATAGGGTTATTGAGTTCTAGCATGGAACAACCTTCAGAAACCCCCACTATATGCTGTGGAAGTTTTACAGTAATTCCCTTATGAATTTGCACTGAAATCAATGCCATCATGACCAAACTTAATCTTGATGCGTTAACCATGTTAACTTGGTAACTTGACAGCCATATTTGCAAGTTATAACTAGGCCACTAGTCTTGATCATCTTGTTGTTTGTCAAACATTTTACTGATGAGAATATTTTATTTTATTCATTTGAGGATAAAAATGGGTAATGCTCATTGTTAAATGAGATGCGGGCGGGCCTGAGAACCAAGTTATTAACTTTTTAAGGCAAATTGTTAATGGGATTATGAATTCTAAGCCCTTTACAAAAAATATACAATTTGTGTCCTTCTGGTCCAGGAGTCTGGCCCCAAGTCGGGGATAACTTAGTCATATATTGAAATTTTTTATACAGTGTACTTTTAGGTATCTTATTCTGAACTTCTAGGTAACAAGTTGCAAAAATAAGGTAATGAATAACAAAATCCTTACAAAACTGTAAAATTTTTGTCGCATGAGTAAGGAGTTCCTATTCCGTGGCCATATCTTGAGAAACTCCTAGCACTACAGCTGACCAACAAAACCCATGGATTAAGAAGTCATAGCCTGAGAAACTTGTGATACTGATGGGTGACTATCAAGATCTCCTGTTGCAATTCTAGTCAATTGACCAAAATGAACTCTTACCATGTATTATTTAGATAATGGTGCAGGATTTATTTTTTGCAATTTTTGCCCCCCCCCCCCCCCCCCTCCCAAAAAAATATCCATCAGTTTATATATTACATGTTATTTCTGTTTGAATATTTGATTTTAGTCAAAATACTAATTCAAACTGTAGAACAGAATGATTGAGAAGTTATAGTAGTACAGTAATAAAGATTCTAGGTAACTGAAGGCTTTAAATATTGAGGGATCAAATTGCAAAAAAAATCAAGCTGCAGAAATTGCACCAAGATACAGTAGTATTATAAAAGGATAAAGTTAAAAAACTTATATGAATGAATTATTAGAGGTTTAGCCTGTAAAGGTTATGATTCACAGGATTATTTTAGAAAGTAAAGCACATGCATTATACTAGTTTGTTGCACCTTCAGTAAAGTTTGATAACATATTGTTGCCTAACATTGATTAACTTGAATTTCTGGAAATCTTTAAGGTCAATACCAGGAAGCTGGGAGTGTGGTATGTTATCAGTTGGACTGAGATAACGCTATCTAGCGGAGGGTGTTATCAATAGACCAGAGTACATATGAATGGACTAAAACACAAGTTTCCCTTCTATGGATTAATGTGACCTATTCTTATTTACTAAGGTTAGTCTCTGAAGTCTCTAAGAAATGTATTCTGTTTAATTACTTACTGCACACTTGGTAACCTCTTGTTTGAATCTTGACAAGCTTAACCAGTTCTAAGAGCAACTTTGATAGAATTGTACAACAGTTGCAGTTTACTTTTGCATCAGTTATTGGTTGTTATATTTTATTTTGTTACGTTTTTTTTTTTTAACTAAACATGGATGTAATATGCTACGTAAAATGAGATAAGGAAAGATGTAAAGCTCATGCATGCTTGAGAATAAAGACAGATTCTAGTTGTTGCTTAATACTGCCACACATACTAGTCTCAGATAATTTGTATACCCAGAAAATTAAGCAGTGTTCTTGCCTTATGGCTGTTGCTATATGACATGCCACAACAAACTCAGAGACAGAAAAATCTTATGTATTTTAAATTTCTTTAATTTCCTACCACAAGTTAAACTTTTAGAATCAAATATGGAGATAACGAACAGTAATCAAGCTTAAAAGTCCATAGAAAAAATACAAATCAGGAGCAGAGCAAACACAGACCTCTAAAAACTTCAGAGGTGGGATGGTGCCATGAAGGATTAAGCATCCCCTGCCGACCGGTCACACCTACAGTGTGTTCCTTGTCATGATAGGGAAAAAACAGAAAAATTCACAGACAATTCAATGTGTAAATAATGGTCTAACAATAAGTATGAAAAACGTCAGTCAGCATTTGACTTGATGGTAGATTTTATTTGCTGACAAGGTCCTTGTATCAACCATAGAACTTGCGAAATGATGACTTTAAACAAGATTGTTGATAATCTTGTTTCATCAACTTGTTTGTTAATAGCTTGCCTCATTTAAGAAATTGTCTGTACATAGACATGTTCTTGCATAACTAATCAACTCAGAGATATAAACCCCATATGTTGGTGATTAGGGGATATTGCTTTTTAAGTAAGGGGAGTTAGTGATAGAAAAGTTGAAGTCATCATGTTATCTAAAGATTTGTTGTTAGGTTACCATAAATGTTTTTTTTGTAGTATAATATCAAAATATGACACAGATGTGTCAGACTCTGTGGTATCTTTTATTTCAAGTTTACTGAGATATATTGAGTCGACATATGAATGGAAGTAACTATTGTTAATTGATAATAGGTCGTCTATACATGTATATGTAAATGTCGAGTTGAAAGCCACAGCAAGTGTTTTCTTCTTCTTGTGTACAAGTTTTTGAATAAATTCTGCTTCATATGAATGCAAAGATAGGTCTGCTAATAATGGGGCCCAATTGGTACCCTGGAGAATTCTGACAGATTGTTGGACGACCTGGTCTCCAAAATCAACATAGATATTGTCAATCAGAAACGCAAGCATCTTTTTAATATCAACCTCAGAGTACTTGTGTGTATAATATTAGAATTTTTCCTAACAAAATAATTTTGTAAATGACAAATGACCAGGTAAGTAAATTTACAAGTTCCATTTTTATTGAAAAAGCAGCTATGATGTCAAAAAGTCTGGATTTTAATTTATGAGTGCAATCACAAAAAATCAGATTTTAATCCTTTTTTCAATTTTGTCATTTAAATCATGATTGTTTAAAATAGATTTGTTATAAATATACTTTACTATTCTTAAAATTCATCAAAAGAAGTTTTGTGTTAAAAGAAAAAAATATCTAGCAAAATATATATAACATCAATGTGTTTATTTTCTTCTGGGTACTTGTGTCATGAGGTCTCAGAACTCCCATGTCATAATGACGTCATCTTATTGCTCATTCACTTTCAGTATTAATAGAAATTGGAACCCTCATCCAAGCATCTTTTAGAGATGTGATGAATGAGGGTCATTTTCTGAATTTAAGCCAAAAGGCTACGAGGGTTTAAATGGAATATTGTATCCCACTAAGACCCATGTTCCTTATTTTAAAGTTTCAAAGTAAACAGTATTCACACCCGAGTGCTTCTCACACCATGCTTTATGAACTTCCTGCTGACCATTGTCTGAGTCTAATTTAAAGCATGATAGTTATCTCTAAATAAGTTATTTTCAAATTTGTTGTCAAGCGGTGGGACTCAAGTAATAAAACTTATAAAACTGTTATCATTGAATCATAATATATAACGATGGGAGGGTATTTAAACCCTCGTAGCCTTTCGGCTAATTTGGAAAAATGACCCTCATCCATCACATATCTAAAAGATGCTTGGATGAGGGTTCCATTTGACCTCATTGAGTCTCCAGCTTTACTCAGGTTTAAGTGGAATCTTTAAAGACTTGTGACAACAAATTTAGAAAATAATTAACAATGCTGCAATCAAAATTACAAAAATTAACAGAAACTACATGTATAAGAAGTATACCAATACAATAATTAAATTTATTAAGTGAAGTTACATAATTATGTATACAATTAATTACTTTGAAAAATTTTTATTCTTAATACACAAGATACACAATCATAAAAAATCTCTCAAGAATAACAATAATTACTGTTTTGTCACACATAATTAAAATCACTGAATTGTTCTTAAATCACTTACGTGTCCATCTTTATTACAAACGGAAGCCTATGTTAATCCTACGTGCATGTCCACCAAGATCAAGGATGAGAAATTTCCTTTCAAATCCACCATTATGAAGAAGAAGTTCGCAGAACAGTGTTCGAAAAGGAATTTGATAGATCTCTTCTGTAGAAAGTATAAAAAGTTTTAGCATTAGCCCAATTTGCAGTTTCAAGAGTTTCTTTTATTTGAACACCACCAGCAAAAGCTGCTGAGGTTGATGCACTTCTATAAGAATGTGCTAAAAATATTGTGTCATCAATGCCAGATCTCTTTAAAATTTCTTTTAACCAATGAGCCACAGTGCTTGTTGAAATTTCATTGAAAGTTTTAAATGAAATTAATAATTTATTTGATTTACATTTCTCTTGAGTAATTTTTAGATATTCTTGTAAAGGGTGTAACACACAACACCTCTTGTCTGGAAAAGAACTGATCTTTAATTGTTGTACTTCATGACCTGGTCTTGAAGTTTTTTGTAATTCATAAATTGTGAACACTACGTATTCACCATGATCAGCCATTTGATTTATTTGTAAAGAAACTAGAGTTCGAACTCTCTGAGCTGTGATCAAAGCAATCAAAGAAGCTGTTTTCAAAGTCAAACTTTTAAGGTCCAAATTTTCTAATGGATAAAGTGATTTCAAATACTCAAGCACTTTACCAACATCCCAGGTTGTGCTGTATTTTGGTTTTGGTTTCTTAGCAAGAAAAACACCTTTTTGAACAATTGTATCCTTATAATTAATAGTATGATACAGTCCCTGAAACGTTCTACTTTCCCACTTGAACGGTGAGCGAACGGTGAACGAACGGTGAACGAACGCAGAGCGAACGGTGAGTGAACGATGTGTGAACGCTGAACGCAACTTGGTGAACGATGTGTGAACGCTGAACGGTGAGCGAACGCAGAACGCGAACGGAGCGCAAACACGTGTGAACGGTGAACGAACGGTGAACGCGAGATGAACGATATATTCGGAATGCCTCTGATCTTTTCCTTGCATTGAAACTATTTTATTGTTTTATTATGTCAAGTGCCAATAAATAAATAAATCAATCAATAATAAATAAGTAAACCAATAAATGAATGAATAAATAAGTCAATAAATTAATAAAATAAATTCTCCAAAATTGTCCTGAGAAAGATGATGCATGCACATTAAGTTTTTAATCACACAATTTTTATCGCATTAAAACATTGCAATTGTTGCCGAACGCTGAACTATAAGATATTTTTTTAGTTGGAAAATAAAAAAATGTTTATTCTTATTTGATAACAAATCAGAGAAAACTTCTGACTTATAGAATGAATTAAAGTGGTTGTAACATCCATTCATATATCTCCGTGTTAAGGCGATTTCGTGTAAAGTAATGAAAAAAAAAATAATTACATAGGTCAATGGACGTTTTGCATTTATACGCTCGTATTTTAAATTTTTAATACAATAATATATTATGTGTCATTTCTATTTTACATGATGATTTATCAGGCCCGTAGGAAGCAAATTCGGTTGGGGGGGGGCACAGCTATACATTTTCAGTTGATAGTTGAGGGGGCACTACCAAAAATTTCCTGACAAGCAAATAAAAAAAAAAAAAAAAAAAAAAGATCATCAGACTTTTTATTGCGGGGGCACAAGCATATAGTATCTATGTTTACTATAATAATCTATATATCGGCAAAATTATTGGGGAGGGGGGCACACCCCCCTTGCCCCCCCCCCCCCGGTTCCTACGGCCATGTTTACTGAGCAGACTTCTACATTTATCTGTAGATGGCCGTGATTATACTCGGACAAGATAATACAAAGATACATATCCATATTATTTGTTATAAATTCAATTTTCAGAACTTGATATTCAAGTAATATGCTGTTATAGTTTTTATTGAACAGACAAATGAGAGAGAGAGAGAGAGAGAGAGAGAGAGAGAGAGAGAGAGAGAGAGAGAGAGAAATATTCCGTTTTAGCTAGCCCCCCCCCCCCCCCCCCCCCCCCCATTTCAGGCTTCACTACATGTTTGTACCTATATCAAACAAAAACTCTGAAAAATTTTTTCTGAGTATATCAGACAGTGAAAGTAACTTTTTTTTTTTAATCAACAAATCAAATCCATTTGTTTGACAGTCATACTCGTTTTTATTTTCCTGCTTCAAGTTCACACGAAGTCCACGTGCTTGTCCTGTCAATCAAAATCATTCGACACTGTGCAGGTGTGAAAGTTTCGTCACATCGAAGACGAAGTGCGAGTATTTCCAACAAGTTATAACATTTATTTTTATCATTTTCTAGATTTGATTCCAACATTTGAATAATAATTGAATAAAATACATAGGGCATTAACACTTGAATTTGAAACATACTCTCTGCCAATTCCAAATACCACCGCCGACACGTGTACATTGTGAACTACTATTGTTTTGTGACTTTTTTAGATGCCTTTTTGTTTTGAGACTGAAATTTTTGTTCTAAAAAGACCTTTACTTTTTTTTAAAATGTTAATTAAAATATTCTGGAAATACAATACTGACTAAGTAATCGATTTAGGGGGAAAAGGGGGGTATTAATCATATCGAATGACAAACATATAAAGTTACGGTGAAGAAAGATTTTTTTTCTCTCTATAACTATAGACTTTACATATTATAGTAGAGAAAATTCTGTAGTGCATTACATTTTAAATAAATATTTCCTTTAACCACACCATCAATTTAATTCGCTCTAAAGATAATAAATTAATATGATATCCGCAGTACTATGTATAACTCTCAGAACTAATTCTATCATATTTTCTGTAGTAATTGAAAAAAAAACATGTTATAAATAAATATTTTCGTAATTTTGCTGTGTAATTATTTGACTTGGATAATTATATCTCCATTAACGATTTGTCGTCTTTAACAAAACAACAAAATGTTGTCAGTGCTTGAAGTACTTGCACATTAATTGCCTTTAGTTAAATTTAATATTTCAGCATCGTTCTACATAGGTACAGAATGTGCTTATAACAACATTTATTTTCCAGAGTAATTTAATAAATAACCTAACAGCTAAGTTAGAATAATAAAAATATATATTGTAGATATTTTCCCCCATGAAATAATGATTCTTCAAACACGATATGTAAGTTATTAAATTAAAAAACCTGTAACTCCTAACCTACAAAAAGATAAGTCCTTTCACTTCGGAGTTCCGAATGACAATGAAAACTGAACGATAGGTGAACGCTGAACGCAAGGTGAATGCAAAGTGAACGGAACGAAGAGTGAACGCTGAACGCTTTGTGAACGGTGAACGCGAGCGCACGGTGAACGGTGAACGCAAAACTGTGAACGGAGAGCCAACGGTGAACGCACGGTGAACAAACGGTGAACGAACGGTGAACGAACAGTGAGTGAACGGAAAAATGGGAAAGTAGAACGTTTCAGGGACTGTAAGAGAAATCATTTTCTCCCAACCATGAAAGATAATTTATGATCTGATTACAAGAAGGTTGCAGGGGATTAATTTTTCTCTGATAGCACCAAATGACCCACTTATTCCAAATAAAATCATGCTTCTAATTTTTCATGTGTTTGTGCTAGGTCTCCATGAGTTTGTAATATTTTCGATAGACTTTTCTGATAAGCCTCTACTTTTGAGTTTAAGCCTGACACAGGACAGGCGAAAAGAAACATCTTTCTTTTGTTCATAGGATGCAACTGATTGTTGTGTGCTAGACGTAACAAATTGGGTATTACTGGTAATCGAATGGGGTTCCTTATTAACCTCCCTAACAGTTTTGGATACCAGGACTGGGTGCCCCACTTTGGAACAATCAGAATTGCTTTTCTCACCTTGTCTTCCTCCAGTTTTTGCAGAATTCTTCCAATCAAGCTAAAAGGAGGAAAAATAAAAGGTTTAAATTCAGTCCAAGATATAGAAAATGCATCAGATGTGATTGCCATTGGATCTGGAAACCACAAAACATAATTATCGAACTGTTTATTCAATCTCATCTTCACTAGCTAAGGGTTTCTGATCCGCTATGCTCCTCATAATCCCTTGGCCTACGGTGCTGTCAAAAGTTGGGATTTTTTTCTCAAGTTGTGATTGGAGTTGATTGATATAGATCAACCAATCAGCAATTGTTTTTATACCCCCACTCCGAAGGAGAGGGGGGTATACTGTAAATTCCTTATTTTACACAAGTACTTAATATTGCGAAATGGCCCAAGGGCGTCAAATCGCGGGAATAATAATTCGCGAATCAGTGATTTATCTAGAGATTTTACATACATTGAAGCACCATAAAAATAAAAGCGAGTAATTTTATTTTGCGAGTGGTGCTCCTCGCGTAATTACACGATAATTTATTCCTCGCGTATATTTAGGAATCTACAGTACTCTTTTACCCTTGTGTGTCTGTCTGTCTGTGTGTGTGTGTCTGTCTGTAACAAATTTTGGTCGTAGTTTTCTCAGCAACTACTCATCGCAGATGCTTGAAATTTTAGCACAAACTTTGTTTAGGCATGCCATATGGTGGGATTCATTTTTGTATGAATCCAATTTCAACTTCCTGTTTATCCATGCGTCTGTCTGTACCATACATAACAAATTTTGGTCACAGTTTTCTCAGCAACTACTCATTGCAGATGCTTGAAATTTTAGCACACTCTTTATTTAGGCATGCCATATGGTGGGATTCATTTTTGTACGAATCTGATGTCAATTTCCTGATTATCACTGTGTCTGTCCATAACTGAACTTAGGTATTCACATCAGAGCGGGGGTATTGCTAGTGAGCATTTGCTCACAGACTTCTTGTTTGTAAATGAAGATATCTGCTTTCGGGATATATCGTGACTCATTATAGTCTTGGGAATGAAAAACACAAACTGAATGATGATCCGTAAGATAACATGTCATTCTATAAATAGTTATGGTATGATCCAATCTTAAGTTGAAGTGCAAATAATGTGACCTGGAATCGATATTACAGATGTATACTTGCACCCTAAATTAGTAAACATCGCTTGATACCTTCTCGTTAATTATTCTCTAAAGACTTTAATGTTTAAATTTGCTTTTTTATTTCTATCAATGACACAATCTGTGCATGAATTCGAAATCAGATATGATGTAAATTATTAACATTCCCGTCTTTTGACAGCACCATTTGCCAAGGGTTTGTGAGGAGAGTAGTGGATCAGAAACCCTTGGCTATAGTGAAGATGATTCAATGTAGAGGCAATCAAATCTATATCAGGATAAAATAATGCTTCACAATTGTGATCAAAAATATTTTCATTCAGTTTCCATTCTGTGGAGTCACTAAATGATCTTGATAAATAATCTGCAGTAACATAAATTTGTTTTTTTCCTGCTCTATGAACTACTGAAATTACAAAATATTTCTTTCATCACACCACAGAAAAATTTCTTCTGCAATCCTAAATAAAGAATCACTGAACCACCTTCATTATTTATGTAACTGACTACTGAACTATCAATGTCAGATCTTATGCAGATATGAGTATCTTCGATTTGATTACATAAACTCAGTAATGCAAATTTAATGGCTAATATTTCTAGAACATTTATGTGCAATAAAGGTTCAGCATCTGTCCATCTACCACCTGTATGAACTCCTTTTAAATTTGCACCCCAACCAGCAATCGAGGCATCTGTTTCCAGATATATGTCAATTTTTGGGTATCTTATCCATTTACCATTTCTCTTTTTAATATTATCCTTCCACCATGAAATTTCAGTTATAAACTCTTCACTCAAAAAAATTTCACCTTCGTAATCGTTTTCAGAGATAGTTAAAGCATGAACTTTGTCTCTGTCTAAATATCTAAAATGTAATGCACCTAAATTTATTGCATATAATGATGATGTAAATAGAACCAATGAGCTTTGTAATTTCCCTAATTGAATGCCTCTTCTTATTCTTTAATACAGCTTCATAATTTAAGATAATTTTTTCATCAGGTAAATAAACCTTGAATTCAACAGAATCAATAATGTGCCCCAGGTAGGAAATTCTGGTTGATGGCACCAACATAGACTTTTTTCTTTTTACACTAAATCCTAATTTTTGTAATAAGTTCACCAGAAAATTTGCATTGATTTGCATGCTTTAAAAGTATCAGCTTCAATCAGAGAATCATCTATATAGTACATGTATAAAGAAGAAATTCCTTGCTGTCTAAGATAAGCAAATACAGGTTTCATTATTTTAGTAAAAACTCTGGGTGCAGAAGCCAGTCCAAAAATCAGAGCATTACAATGATATAAAATTCCATTCCATAAAAATTTTGAATACTTCCTGTCCTTGTTATTAACAGGCACTGACAAATAAACATCTTTTAGATCAGTACTCACAAGGAGTAAGTTTTTCTTTATAGATGATAAAATTGAATCCAAAGTCTCCATTTTAAAATGATGATATTGAACAAACCCATTTAATTTTTTCAAATTTATCACTGGTCTATATTTACCATTCTTCTCGATCTTCAACTATAAAAATGTTCGAAATGAATTGTCCCCATTCATAACTCCCAGAGCGGTCCCAGAGCAGTCCCACAGCGGTCCCAGAAAGCAGTCCCAGTGGTCCCAGAAAGCAGTCCCAGCAGTCCCAGTGGGCGGGGTTAATTAATTAAATGGGCAGAGCTTACTCAGAAATGAGGTTACCAATAAACAATGTAACTATAAAAGGCAGTGGAAATTGATGATGCATTTCTTTCTGAGCAGTAACAACAAATATTTACAATTATTATGTGACAGTCATTTCTGAACTGTTAGGAAAATTACAGTACGTGTATAGCAACAAATAATTAATATTGAATGAAGAAGACATTCACACCTTCTAATAATATGATTATTTAAATAAAGTTATGTGGTATATTAATTTTTCACCAAAATAAATCCATTTTTTTATTATCTGTGATTGATATTGGTTTCCATATTTATTTATTTTTATAGAAAATTAAACTTGAATTATTTTTTTTTCTATCAGCTGAATTAGTTTAAATAGATTTTATAATTATGGAGCAAAGCCGATTCCCATACTACTGTGAATGTATTTTTCTTACTGGAAAATATCGCGGCTTTTGAAAAATTCTTTGTAAAATTTTGCCAAGTATCATATTTCAGTCATGATTATTTTTACTGACATGCCAATTTGATTATCGTTAGATTCTCTATGTAACAGAAAACAATAACACTCAGTTTTAAGTGTTTTAAGTGTACATCTGAGTGTACATCTGTACGCGAATGGAACCCTCAGATTATGTTTAAAATTAATTAATTCCGAAATAAATCTATACACATTTATTTAAACAAAAAAAATTTTGCAGTCCATAGATTGTCATTGTCATTGTTGACCAGCATGTTCAGTGATGTGTAACACTGATACCATTCATTGACTTTCTGCTAATCATACCCAAAAGCGATTGAAACTTCAAGTGTTGACACCACACAATTCCCGATATTTTCAAATGTTTATTTTTTAAATAAATGTACCTTTTTAATAACTTGTTTATAAATTAAAAACTAATTCATACATAAATCCCCAAATACTTTCATGTTCACATTGTTTATATGTCGGAAGAATGGTAGAATAATTTTATTTCATGGTCATTTAATAAATTAATTATTAGGTTTTATTTGAGGGCGGTAAAAAATAGCATGGAATGCGCTTCTTTTTAAGCATGCATGGTTTTACTTTTTCAATTAAAAAAAAATCCAGTACAGTACTCCCTCTGAATATCTTACTGTAATAACGTGTTTGTTTTTTGTGCTAATGCAAACTTTTAGTACATGATTTGATAGCATAAATTAATTAAATAGGCCTAGATAATTTTGTTTAAAACACCTGTATTAAAGTTTAATTTAAGGGATAAAAATCATCCCCTGACTTCCCTTTTTAACTACATGTACTTTCATTTTTTAAAAATCAATTCTAGACTGCAATGGTGTAAATTTAGAGCCCCTTAAGACGTATAGTAATTACATGTATATCTATCTCTACTTGTTAAAATTTTGTAAGAAATCCTTGTTTTTTATTTTTTATCTTAAACACCTCTCTGCTGAAAGTAAACAAAACAACAACAGGGAGACTGCAAATTCAGAATACACAAGGGGGCGGAGCTATCATGTCACTCAGAACCTTTTTCAGGCATGAGTGAACAAAGCAGTCCCAGAAAACAGTCCCTGGGACTGCTGGGTCTGCTTTCTAGAGCAGTCCCACAGCACTCCCAGAGCAGTCCCATAGCGGTCCCGGGGACTGCTTTCTGGGACTGCTTAGGTGTCAGGTTGGGTCTGGTTGGTATTGTATATCCCATAATAGACTACAAGATCCAAGGATCTTTAGTAATTTCTTTCCATTTTTCTAAATGTTTTGCTAAAAAGCATGCAGTAAATGATGGACTTTTAATTTTACTTACATTCAATATCCTTGATATGTCTTTCTTAGGGCTGTTCCCCTGTAGCCTCTTGACCGGCCTATTCTTCTCCCTCTGTATGAACCTGGTGCTGTGCCTCTGTACCTGCTTCGGAAGTTTTTTGAATTATTGAAGTTTTTTAGAATTGACCATATTTTGACCTGTAATGAGCTGTTTATTAATCTTCGAAGCGTCTGTCATCTCTTTCATTCTTTTTGTAACGTCTGATGGAAATAAAGTTTTTTCTTCTATAGGCGTAGATGCCAAACAAAATTGTTGAAATTTTTTATGTAAATAAGGCCGTAAAATGTAACATCAGGATCTCCTGATGTTGGTTTCATACATTGCGTTACAGGCTAGAGTAATGGCATCAGAGACATGCTTCTTCACTTGTTTCATATCAAATTTATTTTTTTTAAACATTTCAGCCAAGTTATCATAGGAACAATAGCCGTCCAAGAATTTTCTGAGCTTCCTGAATTGTTTTGTCTCTTTGCTGAACATTGACAAAATGATTATTCCAAATTTCAGAGTTGATAAATGGGGGTACAAAATTTTTGCAGTTCTCTGGAACTTTTATTTTGTCCAAATATTTTGACACATCTGCTTTCTGAGTGCAACCCATTTTTATGAATTTTGCCAAATTATCAGAAATGAGAGAACAAAATTTTGTTTCATCCTCAAAAACTTTAGGCATAGAGAATTTGTTATTATCTTCATCAAAAATAACTTCCGGATCATTATCAATAGAAACAAGATGTGTGCGAATCACTGATGCCCCCGTATGGCAGCTTATGGCGAAGGTTAAAGTTTCTCAAATGCAAGTCAAACTCCAGGTCAAGAGATCAAAAATGTTGGTACCCGAAGAAAGGTCTTGTTTTAAGGAATATATCTGTGAAATTTGAAAGACCTAGCTGTATATTCCTTAAAACAAGTACTTGTGAAATATGAAACCCCTAGCACCAACTGTTGAAAAGTTATGGCAAAGATTAAAGTTTTTTTTAAAAGTAAGTAAAACGTCAAAGTCAAGGTCAAATGGTGCCCAAGGGAAGGTCTTGTCACAAGTGATACACATGTTCATGAAATGTGAAAGCCCTAGAACCAAACGTTATTTCAAATGTTATGGCCGAGGTTAAAGTTTTTCCTAAGTAGGTCCAACTCCAAGGTCAAGGTCAAAGGGCCAAAGTTGTTGGTATCCAAAGGAAGATCTTGTCACAAGGAATGTACATGTGAAGTATGAAAGCCCCAGCACCAACTGTTTAAAAGTTATGTTGAAGGTTAAAGTTTTCAAAAGTAGGTCAAACTCAAGGTTCAAGGTCAAAATGTTGGTATCCAAGGAAGGTCTTGTCACAAGGAATACACATGTGAAGTATAAAAACCCTAGCACTAACTGTTAAAAAGTCTTGACCAAAGTTAAAGTTTTTCAAAATTAAAGTAGGTCAAACTGTAAGGTCAAGGTCAAAAGGTCAAAGTTGTTGGTATCCAAGGGAAGGTCTTTACAAAAGGCATATACATGTGAACTATGAAAGCCCTAGCTCTAACTGTTCAAAAGTTATGGCCAAGGTTAGGGTTTTTTCAAAAGTAGGTCAAACTCCAAGGTCAAGGTTAAAGGGTCAAAGTTGTTGGTATTGAAAGAAAGGTCTTATCACAATAATACACATGTAAAGTTTGAAAGCCCAAGCACCAATTGCTCAAAAGTTATGACTTTAAAGTTAAAGTCTCACAAAATTTTGCAAAAGTGGGTCAAACTCCAAGGTCAAAAGGTCAAACATGATGTTAGTAGATAAGAAAGGTTTTGTCACAAGAAATACACATGTGAAATATGAAAGCCATAGCTCCACCCAATCAAAAGTTATGGGCGAGGTTAATTTTTTTTTCCAAATTAAAGTAGGTGAAACTCCAAGGTCAAAAGGTCAAAGTTGTTGGTATCTAAAGGAAAATCTTGTCACAAGGAATACACATGTGAAGTATGAAAGCCATAGCACTGACTTGTCAAAAGTTATGGCCAAGGTTAAAGTTCTTTCAAAAATAGGTCAAACTCCAAGGTCAAGGTCAATGGGTCAAAGATGTTGTTATCCAAAGAAAGATCCCGTCAAAAGGATTATGCACATGAAGTTTGAAAGCCCAAGCACCAACTGTTCAAAAGTTGTGGCCAAGGTTAAAATCTCATAAAATTTTGAAAAAGTGGGTCAAACTCCAAGGTCAAGGTCAAAAGGTCAAATATGATGGTACCCAAAGAAAGGTCTTGTCACAAGGAATACACATGTGAAATATGAAAGCCATAGCTCCAACCAATCAGAAGTTATGGGGAAGGTTAAAGTTTTTGCAGACAAACAGACAGATGGATGGACAGGGCAAAAACTATATGCCCCAGAATCTTCAATTACGGGGGCATAAAAAGATCAGTTAGATCTATATGGGTTTCATTTTCCACCAGAATAAAATCTTCTATCATATCTTGCTTTTCACATGCAATACCAGAAGTACTCGCGTCATCTCTGTTTTCTGAACGTTTTAATAATTCTTGTAACATGAAATAAGTTTGTGAGGAAATAAAATCTTACTTTTGTTTTTTATTACCTGATACTGGAACCTTGTCATGTTTTCGTTTTGTTACGTTTTTACTCGCTGACTCTTTGCCTTTTTTATTCTTTCCCAGAACTTTCCCAGGCCCGTTGCTTGTAATTGTAGTGTTGATGGGAGCCAAGTTATTATTGGACACACTTCTTGTGGTCGGTCTCTCATTCTCATCAAGTTCCTCTTCAGAAGCCAATAGTTGAACTATATCGGCAGTCTGCTCATCCCAGAACTTGACTCTGATAAATTTCTCAGCACAGTTAACTCGTAACAAGCCAATATAAAAAATAATGCAGTTAACACAACGTGCTAACAAAGTATACGGGGCCTTTTACACGAAAGACTTGGGCAGTGGTTAGCAGGCAGTTTATATAGCATGGTGTGAGAAGCACTCAGGTGTGAGTACTTTTTATTTTGAAACTTTAAAATAGGTACATGGGTCTTAGTGCGACAGGATATTCCATTTAAACCTGAGTAAAGCCTGGAGGCTCAATGAGGAAAAAAGAACTGTTGGTTATTATTGATCTGGACTTGTGTAGACCTTTTGAAGTAGTTAGTAAAATTCAGGTTGCAGAGATCAGATTTACAGATGAACTTCGGTATCAGGAATATCAATATCTCTAGCATGGATATGTCAAATGTCAGCTGTAAGATCTTGGTCTGTTTTTACCCCAGTATCTGACATTTCTTAATTCCTGGATATCTGGAAGTTTTTCCTTGGCTCCACCATGTTCATGATAAAAAAGTTTGAATGTAATCGTGGTACGAAAGGGGGACCAGAATCTTTTTTCTTGAAAGGGATAATGTATGTTTATCATTCAGCATCCTATTTAGAGTACTCCTGTTATGATAATTATCAATCGCATCCTGGGCAAGCATTGCTCTACTCAGTTAGGATTACTCTGCTCCTTACACAGGTGCTACTGAATATAGCGCATATACTAAGGCAAACTTGCTTTGCCCTCATCATTCATGTATCAGATGCTAGTATGTTTCATGCTAGTGGACATAAATCATGTAGGCAAGCATTCCTTACCCTCAGCCTTCAAGTATCAGGTGCTAGTGAGCATTTTTCATACTAATGGAGTATGTTTCAATTAGGCAAGAGTTTTGCTTGCCCTCAGACAATAGTTTATCCCATTCCACAGAGAAATTTCTATATTGTTTCAGACATAACTTGATCAAGTCATCTTTTTGGATGCTGCAATTAAATACTAATTGTTTGTTAGATTGCCTAACTGCATGAGTCCTAAAGTATTAGATTAATAAAAATGAAACTTAATAGAATCTCTTTGTTGTTTTGTGGTTATAAAATACCATAAATCTGGAAATTTTATGTCGATTTATTTTCGCGAATTTGGGTCAAAAAGCTGTTGATTAATTTTTACGTTTCAAAATTTTGCAAATTGTCATTGGCTCTAAAATTAAAAAGCGCTAAAAATTTTCATAACAGTTTATAAGTTACGCATGTACATATGATAAATCACGCATGTACATACAATATTAAATGATGCCAACGTTCAATAATCAGATTATAAATTATGCATGTACATATACAATAAATTAAGCATCTACATACAATATTAAACAATGCTAATGTTCAATAATCAGATAAAAAATACATCAAAACTGTTTAAAGTTTTCTTACACTTTATTAAATCAAATTTCATTAACAATCTGTTGTAAAAGGGCTTCTTTAAATGACCACTGCTTACAAACACTTGTTCACCGGGTTAAAAATAGACACCAGCTGTCAGCAAAATTTTTGTTTATATTTTTTGTTGCTGATTTATTTTTAATAAAAATATTTTTGTGAATGCACTACACGTGCAAATTTGCTAAAAATTTATCTACAGTAAAAATTTCCAGATTTACTGTAGAAATAAATTGGAAACAAGACGTGTTTGTGAAACACTGATGCCCCCGTATGGCAGCTTATGGCGAACTTAAGGTTAAAGTTTCTCAAATGCAAGTCAAAATCCAGGCCAAAAGAGAAAAAATGTTGGTACCCAAAGAAAGGTCTTGTCTCGAGGAATATACCTGTGAAATTTGAAAAACCTAGCTGCAACTGTTCAAAAGTTATGGCGAAGATTAAAAGTTTTTTAAAAGTAAGTAAAACGTCAAGGTCAAGGTCAAAGTGGTTGGTATCCAAAGGAAGGTATTTTCACAAGGATTACATATGTGAAGTATGAAAGCCCTAGCACCAACCATTCAAAAGTTATGACCAAGTTAAAGTTTTTTGAAAGTAGATCAAACTCCTATGTCAAGGTCAAAGGGTCAAAGTGGTTGGTATCCAAAGGAAGGTGATGTCACAAGGATTACATATGTGAAGTATGAAATCCCCAGCATCAACCATTCAAAAGTTTTGCCAAGGTTAAAGTTTTTCAAAAGTAGGTCAAACTCCTAGGTCAAGGTCAAAGGGTCAAAGAGGTCATTATCCAAAAAGGTCCTGTCACAAGGATTACATATGTGAAGTATGAAAGCCTTAGCTCCAATCATTCAAAAGTTATGGCCAAGGTTAAAGTTTTTCAAAAGTAGGTCAAACTCCTAGGTCAAGGTCAAAGGGTCAAAGAGGTCGTTATCCAAAAAGAAAAGGTCCTGTCACAAGGATTACATACGTGAAGTATGAAAGCCTTAGCTCCAATCATTCAAAAGTTATGGCCAAGGTTAAAGTTTTTCAAAAGTAGGTCACACTCCAAGGTCAAGGTCAAAAGGTCAAAGTTGTTGTTAT